GAGTTGATCATCTAACTAGAGAGAGATTAAGCATGAAGACAAATAACTAGGCACGGTTGTAGTGAGAGGAATGAAAAGTTCATCAATGAAAGTATTTGTTTGGGGGGAAATTACTTTTCTCCGGGCCTCGGTGTCGCTCATATGTAAGGTGGAACTAATAAGATTTGTCACGGTTGTGGTGGGGAGCCCAGGAGATAATGTGTATAAAGGGCTCGGCACCCAGGGGCTGGCGCAGAGCCGGTCTGTAAAGGGTTAAGGCTATTCCTGGCTATGAATGAACAGCGTCTGTAAGACAGGTTCGTCTGCTTCATCGCTAATCTGGATCATAACTGTAGGTTCCCTGGGACTTTCCTGAAAAGGGAGGTTGCTCACGTCTGTGTTTCTCTCTGAAACAGTCACTGTATCCTAGGAAATAGAGAAAACAGCTGAGGTTGAAAACAAGAGCTCCGGTAGTACAGAGCTGTGGTACCCTAGTGGGAAGAGGTCCAATATGCCTGGGTTCAAATCCAGGCTCCAGCACTAACCGTCTAACTCTGACATTTGGCAAATTCATTACCCTTGCTGAACTCGTTCCCTCATCTGTAGAATGGGGATAGTAGTACCCCATTCTATACTGTGCAGAGACAGTTGTTGAGAGGACTTAACAATACAGGTGAAAGGCCAATTTGGTACAACTTTTAGCTACTTGAAACCATAACCAAAAGTTATTGACAAAATGGAATTCAAGATCTGCAGCTCTCCTCACTGCTCAAATATCCTATTTTAAACACCTGGAATCTTTGCTAATTCCCATATTAATGGAAATATCCCCACCAACTGTCCGCCAATGAGGGTCCAATGAGTATTCAGTTATTTTGCTCTCCTTCAGGAAAGAAAACTAAGGTCAGGTTGGCTCTACCATATGTCCATATGCATCTAGATGAAGATTTCTGCTCAAAGCTGCAGAATGCTCTGATGTCCCCTGTGTCTTTTGACTAGGTCTATTTCAACGTGTCATGCTGGGCTGGTTTGTAGGCTCAGATGGTTGAAGTGTGGTGCTGATAACAGTAGCTTATCAGCCAGCTGCCAAAAAAATAAAAGTGCCATGCTGGAGTGGTACATCAACAAGAAAAACTAGAAGAGGTTTGTGGACAAAACGTCAACCAGTTTTCATTCTGTGAACTATGCTTTTGGACTAGAAATCACATTTGAGAATGCTGGAAGGAACATTTGAGATCTATTTTTAAAATGGAAATCAAGGCCCAAAGAAGGTAAAATGACTTACCCACATAAATGGCAGAACCATGAGCCCAGATCGCTTGCTTCATGCAAAGACTTCATGTATTTCAATCACTGAGCTCTGTTCACTGTCTCCATACCAAACCACCTGATGTGACACTCTTCCAAGAACCTGCTCGGCACTCTGAGGGATGCTTTCCTCCTTGTTCTCTGCTGTGTATGTGAAGAGTGAGGTTCACTCAATTAGGTGGGTCTGTAGGAGGGAGCATCTTGCTACCAGACAGTTTGGTACTGTGAGGACTGCCACCTGTTTTCACTGGAAGGGCACATCACCCACATATTCACTAACTCATTAGGAAGGGAAGCAATTGTTACTAAGTTAGTCTCTAGGGTCCCAAAGTTACAGAAATGAACAATGTACCCAGCAGTAAAACAAGCAATACTTTATTAAAAAAGGAGATAGAAGGCCGGCCCGTGGCTCACTCGGTAGAGTGCGGTGCTGATAACACCAAGGCCCCGGGTTTGGATCCTATATAGGGATGGCCGGTTTGCTCACTGGCTGAGCATGGTGCTGACAACACCAAGCCAAGGGCTGAGATCCCCTTACCAGTCATTTTTAAAAAAAAAAAAAAAAAAAGGAGATAGACTTTTATGCATGAGGGGTAGCTATAGGAAAGCTAGCCTACTGGGGGGTGCTGTTCAGGGTTTTTTATAGAGAAAGGGGTTAAGGGGTGCAGGCCAGTGTCATCATTCTGTTTTTCGTGATTGTGTCATAGGTGAATGCTGTTAGGGTTTTGGTCCTTGCACCAAGATGGTGGTGGTGTTCATTATTATCACTCTAGGAGTGTGCCCCTTAAAGGGGTCTTAAGGTTAATCTGTAACTTAACTTTTACAATTATGGTAAACAAGCCTTGGGAAGGGTTTTGCAACTCAGTGAATGTCTGTTCCCCTCTTATCTTAGTTTATTTCATCAGGGCAGGCCATGGGGTAATTATATGCCCTGGGGGGGGGACTAATGAATGAGAAGTAGAAAAGTAACAAAGTGTCCTCTGCAGGGAAAATAGAGTCAGTTTGGTTCACAGGCCTAGCCCTATTCTGTCTCACAATGAGGGCTGGTGGCACCTTCCTTTTAGGTACTTTGTAGTTTATAAAGAACATTCATATCCATCTCCCTATTTGTCTTCCTTCCCACTTCTGAGAAGTTATCTTGAGTAGAATTTATTCCCGATTACTGAGGTTCAGAGATGAAAAGTGAATTGCCAGCTTTCCAAAGAGGAAAAATTTCTTTTTTAATACTAAAAAGAAAGCCAAACAACAATTGCATCTTTTCTCATTTGGAATTTTTTTCTCCAAGAAACCCTAAGTGTATTATCCCTTTACTTATCCCCGCCCCCCCAAAACTTCAAAGCTTCAATGTTAGCTTTTCAGGAAGGCCTCTCCTGCCCACTCATTACTCAGAGCTAACACTCATACTGCACTTTGTGCTTGCTAGACATTGTTTTAAGTCATTCTCATATATTAACTCTATCAAACCTCATTACAAGCCTATGAGGTAAGTATTATTCTTATCTCTCCATATGAGATAGGCACTATTATTATCATCTCCATATTGGACCTGAGAAAACTGGAGCACAGAAAGGATAAATAATGTGTCCTAAAAAGTAAGTGGTAGAGCCTGGATTTGAACTCCGGGAATATGGAGCTAGAGTTTGCATACTTTACCTCCACTAACTTGCCAACCTAAAGTAGGCCTTTTCTCCATTTGTCTTATTCATAGTATCTCCTTCTTTCCCTTCTGAGCACCAATTACACTTTGCAATTAAATATTTAATCATTTATACATTTCTTGTTTGTTTTCCCTACTAAACTGTAAGCTCTATTAGGTCAGGGTTCGTATCTATCTTATTCACATCATAGGCACTATATAATTATTTGTTGAATGAACAAAGAAACGTGGGCATCATTCATTCTGCAACAAACTTAAAAATTAATTTACTTTTAAACAATTTCTTTCTTACAGAACAGTTGCAAGAGTAATACTAAGAACTTCACCCAGAGATCTTATTAAAGGTTAGCCAATTATCCCCCAAATATACTTTAGAGCAAGAGGATTCAGACCAGGGTCTCTAGAGCAACAAATACTTATTGAGCACCTGCTACTATTGGAGTATATAAGTCTCCCAACTGGTCTCTTGGCTGCAACCATTGCCCCCTACAGTCCCATATAGCAACCAGAGTGATCCTGTTAAAAACAAGTTAGATTATTTTTCTCCTCTGCTCAAAACCCTACAATAGCTGCCCATTTCATTAAAAGTTAAAAAAAAAAAAAGTTTTCTTTTTTGTTCGCTTTTTTTTGGCGGTTGGCAGGTACCAAGATCTGAACCATTGACCTTGGTGTTAGCACCATGCTCTAACCAAGTGAGCTAACTGGCCAGCTCATAATGCTCCCTTTTTCTTTTTGATCTCCTCTTCTACTCTTCTTATCTTGCTCCAACCACACTAGCCTTCTTGCTGTTTCCCAAAGACTCTAGATATGCTTCCATTTTACAGCCTCTGTACCAGGTCCTCCCTATAATCTCCCCTAGGTGTCTGCATGGCTAACTCCACTTCTTTGTTGGTTCTTAAAAATGTATTACCATACCATACTTACCCTGCTAGATTC